GTGGCCTACATTACTTATTAAATGACCAAATTTTTGAAATCCTGGTGTAGAAAGTAAGAATCCATATTGATTATTGGGAAGTGGGACATTGTATATGCAAAGATCTACGGCAGACCGGGGAGGAGAAGCTGGGCTTTTGAATTCTGCACAGGGACCCACCAGGGTAATGGTCCAGGCTGCTACAAATGGCTGTGCCTCTGCACACTAACCAGTGCAGAGCCCACTCTGTACCCGGAATGTAAAATAATGGGACCCTGCAGAGATAAGCAATACACAATCTACTCAAAGAAGTGGTAAGAAGGATCAGGTGATATTTTAAAGGCAAAACCCATGGTTTTCTCAAAACTCTAGACGTTATTACTGGAATTACATTACCAAAGATTTGGCTATGATAAAATTACCAACTTGCACGGAGCTCCAAAGCTAAGCCATGTAGGAAATTTTATTAAATGTTTACGATTGCCATAGAATATTGTAGAAAATTTTAATTGATGGAAAGGGAGGTCTAGTTACACTTTTGTTTTATTTGCTAAGGGTTGGTTTCAGTTTCTAAGAAATCTTTGTCCTACCTGTTAAGTGAAGAAGGTAGAGGAAACGTTTCAGTAGTCATCATTGGGGGCGCCAAAGAGTCACTGGATGCCCATCCCGGGACATTCATGCTGTATCTCCGTCAGCGGAAAGGATTTGTGAAACTTGCTTTGACCCATGGGTAAGTGTTCTTTTGATTAAGGTAACTGGGTCAAGAGGGCTAAGACATTATTTGCTGAATACAAAGAAGGAAAATACTTTTCTATCCCTTAAAGACCCTGGCTGAGTTGATCTTAAAATAAAAGCAGGTTTTGTAGCCGGGCATGGTAAGGAACACCTGAAATCCCAGCACTTGGGAGGCTGAGGCAGGAGTACCACAAGTTCAAGGTCAACCTGGACCACATTGTGAGACCTTGTCTCAGAAAGTAAATAAATAAGTGGATGAATAAATAAAAGCAGACGTGAGCCAGGTGTGGTGGCACATGCCTGTAATCCCAGCACTCGGGAGGCTGAGGCAGGAGGATCATTGCAAATTCAAGACCAGCCTGGGCTACAAAGTGAGCTCAAGGCCAGCCTGAACTGCATAGCGAGACCCTGTCTCAAAAAAACAAAAAAACAAAACAACAACAAACAAAACAGGCGTGGATATTCTCAGGGAATGGAGTATGAGCTTCCCACCAACTTAGATCGATGCCACATTAACAAGAAGAACCACTAAACTCTGAATTTTAGACACATCGTGTCAATTTCCAATGAAAGGAGCAAATGTACAAAGCTAATGAAGAAGAAGCCTCCAGGAACTTGAACACAGGGCGTTCCCCAACTTTTTTCTTTTTCTTTTCTTGTTTGTTTGTTTGCTTGTTTTGAGCCCAGCCTAGCCTTGAACTGAGATCTTTCTACCTCAGCCTCCCAGAGTGATAAGCATGTGTCACCAGGCCTAGGTTGGAACCTTGAGTTTTCTATAGGATAAAATTCCACCAACATCCGGCTTTGGGGGCAGCACCTCCCTAAAGGATTTCAAGTATAATGCAGTTTTCATTGTTTCAGACAGGAAGTTAGCAAGATAGTATGGAGAAGCTTGAGCTCATTGAAGAATTTTTTAAGTTTTTGTTACAAAAGCCAGCTGGACAAAATAAATCATTCCAGTCCTTTCCCTGCCTTTTGTTATTTTCAGGGCCTACTTGGTCCCCGTGTTTTCTTTTGGTGAGAATGATCTGTACAAGCAAATTCACAATCCTAAAGGCTCCTGGCTTCGAAATGTCCAAGACAGACTGCAGCGAAGCATGACTTTTGCTTTGCCAGTGATTTATGGCAGAGGAATATTTCAGCAAAGTTTTGGGATTTTGCCCCATCGGAAACCTATCCATACTGTTGGTATGTACATATAGGGAATGCAACTGTTATCTTACTTGGAGCAGTGTTCATTGTTCCTGAGCAATGGTCTAATGCAAGAAAACTGCCTTTGGTATGGACCTCCTAGCTAAATAATCTGTAGATGTTATTTGAGCCTAAGTTTACAGTATGCATTTTATTTATGAAAGCACTGCACTTTCCATTTGAGTGGGAATTTACTACTTTTAGGAACACTATTACTCTACTACAAGTAGAATCCGGTTTTAGAAATAAAGTTTCTCATACTCTGCAATGAATCTGCTTCTCCTTGCCAGCCAATGATATCATAGCGGTTCTTTGATGAACAGAGTCTATTAAACAGATGAAAAGTTCTGTATAATAGATGTTTTCATCAGAGTCAATTCACATAGGCATCAGTTTTCTATAGCAAAAGCCCTTTTGGGGGACTACCTGTATTTATATGCATTCTCATATTGATCAATTTTAGTTTTAGAAGTTTCATGTTTGGGAGAATTGACATGGGAGAGGAAGCAGAAATGTAAAATGTCAGGAGCAGAGCTGTGCATAGTAGCACATGCCTGTAGTCCCAGCTACCTGTGAGGCTGAGATGGGAAGATTGCTGAAGTCCAGGAGTTTGAGACCAGCCTGGGTGACACAGTGAGACTTTGTCTCTAAGTTAATTAATTAGTAATTAATTAATGGGTAGGAGCACAGTACCTAACCCTTTGGGTTGGAAGGACACTGGAGAGTTGGAAATGAGGAAGTGCTGCGCCATGGCAGAATTAACCCACAACATATAATATATATATATATATATATATATATATATATATATATATATATAGTCCATCCAATAAAATTCAAATAGAGTGAGGTATAGTTTAGATCTGTTTCACCACCAAAAGTAGATTTTTAACTTTTCATTTTTATGAGCATTTCATTTCACATGTGGTCACATGGCACCATCTTCCAATGCCTTATTTTAATTCAGATGGAATGTTTACTACCTGTGGATTAGTGCATCAGGGACACCAACATAAGTTAATGATGATAACTATATTTTTCAAGATTGAGCTGGTACATTTCTTTGTCAAAACACTAATTAATCATTTTTGATTTTTTTATGTACAATGTACTATTGTTGGTTTTTTGAAGGATTGAAAGAACATTATGAGGCATGATTTTGACACTGAAAAACTTAGACATAACATATGCTTACAAGAAATAAGTTATAATTGCTAAAAGCAGAGTGCATTCTGTTGAGTTAAATGATTATTTTATCACCTGGTTGATTAATTTTTGAAATAAAGTGATTTGGTATTGATATAGTCAGGTTGTGCTTCTCCTAAAAAGTAACTGATTGGTTAAAGGGGAATGGATTAAACCTAAGAATCAATGAATTGAGGAGTTGGTTCCTGGAAATATTAAATAAAATTGACAAACCCCTAGCCCATCTTATCAAAAAAGAAGAAAAGAATGAAATCCATGCAATTAAGAATGAAAAGGGTGGAATTACAACAGATCCTGCACCAATCCAGAAGATCATCACTACCTACTTCGAGAACCTGTACTCAAATAAGATGGAAAACACAGAAGAAATGGACACATTCCTAGATATAAAAGAATTATCAAAGTTAAATGAAGAAAATATAAAAATTCTAAGTAAACCAATATCAGTCAGTAAAATTGAAGATGTATTTGAAAAACCACCAACAAGGAAAAGCCCAAGTCCTGAGGAATTCATTGCAGAGAACTTACAAGCACTTTAGAGAAGATCTATCTCCATTCTTCCTCAAACTCTTTAATGAAATTGAAAGGGAAGCAAACTCATTTTTGGAAACAAGAATCCAACCAGAATAGAACTGCAAGCCACTCTCCCTAATGAACACAGGCACAAAAATGTGCGATAAGATACTGGAAAACAGGATGCAGGAAATCATCAAGGAGATTAAAAACCATGACCAAGTAAGATTCATCCCAGGGATGCAAGGATGGCTCAACATATGCAAATCAATAAATGTAATACACCATATGGACAGAGCCAAGGACAAAAACCTTATGATCATATCAATAGATGCAAAAAATGCATTTGACAAAGTCCAACACCCATTCATGATAAAAAAAAAAAAAACCTACAGAAAATTGGAATAGATGGTCTTTATCTCAATGTGATAAAAAGCTGTCTATGACAAATCAACAGCCAACATCATACTAACTGGACAAAAACTGAAAGTTTTCACTCTAAAATCAGGAACAAGACAAGGATGTCCATTGTCACCACTCTTATTCAATATAATTCTAGAAACATTAGCCAGAGCAATTAGACAAGAGAAAGAAATAAAAGAAATAGGATAGAAAAGAAGTAAATTATCATTATTTGTGGATGACAGGATATTCTACATAGAAGACCTCCAAAACTCCACCAAAAGACTTCTAGATTTAATAACCAAATTCAGTAGCATAGCTAGATACAAAGTAACACTCAAAAATCAACAGCATTCCCATACATAGATAACAAACTCACTAAGAGAGCCATTAGGCAAACCACACCTCTCACAATAGCACCCAAAAATGAAATACTTAGGAATCAATCTACTGAAGGAAGTGAAAAACCTCTACATTGAAAACTTCAGTACTCTGAAAAAGGAGATCAAAGAGAGTATCAAAAAGTGGAAAGATATCCCAAGTTCTTGGATAGGCACAACCAATATAGTAAAAATGGCTATACTTCCAAAACTGTTATACAGATTTAGTGCAATCCCAATCAAAATACCAACAGCATACCTCACAGAACTAGAGAAAACAATCCTAAAATTCATTTGGAACCAGAAGAGATCTAAAATGGCAAAATCAATTCTAGGCAACAAAGGCAAGTCAGGGGACAGCACAATCCCTGACTTGAAATTATACTAAAAAGCTACAATGAGTAGAAACATCATGGTATTGGCAAAAAAAATACACCTGAAGTAAATAGAACTGAACAGAAGCTGCAGAAACAACTCTAAGCACACTCAGCTACCTTGTTTTTGGCAAAGGGTCCAAAGACCTGCACTAAAAGAAAGATAGCCTCTTCAATAAGTGATGCTGGAAAAACTGGCTTTCCACCTGCTGAAAATTGAACCTCAGCCCTTATCTCTCATCAAGCACTCAGCTAAAATTGAAATGGTTCAAAGATCTAAATATTAAAACAGAAATACTAAATCTGCTAAAAGATAGAATAGATAAAACTCTTGAAGACATTGATGTAGGCAAAGATTTCATGAACAAAACCCTGATCACATAGGAAATATTACAAAGAATCAACAACTGGGATCACATCTTATTAAAAAGCCTTTATACAGCAAGAGAAACCACTGACAAAGTGAAGAGACAACCCACAGGATGGGAAAAAAATTTTAGCAGCTATTCCTCAGACAAAGGACTATATGTAGAATATATAAAGAACTAAAAAAAAGCCTAGATCCCCCAAATTTAAAGGCCCAATCCAAAAATGGGCATCTGAAATGAATAGACATTTCTCAGATGAAAAAGTGCAAATGGCAAAAAAGTCTATGAAAAGAAATGCTCAACATTACTGGTCATTCAAGAGATGCAAATTAAAACAACACTGAGATTCCATCTCACTCCAGAAAGAATGGCTATCATCAAGAAATCAATCAATAATAAATACTGGCAGGCTGTGGGGAAAAAGGAACCCTTCTCCTTTGCTGGTGGGAGTGTAAGCTGGTACAACTACTATGGAAATCAGTATGGAGATTTTTTTCCAAAAGCTAAAACTAGGTTCCATTTGATCCAATTGCTCCCCTTCTAAGTATCTTCCCAAAAGAGTAAAAAGCATCACACCAAGGTTATGTATCCATACCCATATTTATAGCAGCACAATTTGTAATAGTTAGATCTTGGAAACAGCCCAGATACCATCAAAAGATGAAAGGATAAGGAAAATGTGGCATTTATATACAATGTAGTACTACTCTGCCATAAAGAAGGATAAAATAAAGTCATTTGCAGGAAAATAAATGCACCTTGAGACCATAATGTTAAGTGAAATAAACCAGACTCACAAGTTTAAATATTGCTTTGTTTCCCTTGTGTGAGAAACGCGAAGGGTAAATAAGGAGCACAGTGGGGGATAGATATTGGGAAGAAGGAAGAACATGTGCAAATGGGAAGGAAAATAAGAGAGGCGGGAGGGGGAAGGAAAGAGGGGGCAAAAAAAAAGATGGAAGGAAAAAATGTTAGGCCACAAATGCGTAAATAATCTTGACTAGTTGGAGGACACTGGAAATAGAAACAGCAATTCAAAGCAATGAAACATAAATAAAAGTTGTGATTCCTGACTCCCCCACAAGCAGTTTGGTTTTTCCAGTCTAAAGAAGTTCTATTTCCAAGAACAACCTAATGTAGCTGTTTTTCTTTTTCCTTTTGTTGTAAAAAGAAATTCTGCAGAATTTCCATACAGCTCTAGTGAATGTTTAGTAGTAAAAAGTCTTGTTTTTGTGGATAGAGAGAATTCCAGTCTTCTGAGGTCTCCAGGGACCCCTTTCAGAAAATCTCCAGTTGTGATAACTCAGTTCAGAACAGTTCTAAGTGGATCCTTTTGTTAGACTCACACAGCAGTAGAGTTGTAAGAGCTAAAAAGTAATAAAAACGTCTAATACACCAGGGTCTCAATGTGCCGAGGCCCCAGGAAATAGTGCTGGGCCTAAATTGCAAGGAGGCTGGGACTGGAAGCGAGATAGGGGCCCTCATGGCCAACGCCTTGATGTGCTGCACTTTCCCTGCCCTCATGTCTGCGGAAGGCAAAGGTCCCTTCTGAGACCCCATGACAGAGAAGGCATGGATGCCCAGTGTCCGCGCTGCAGCGCAGTCTGCTCAGAGCCCATCCCTACAAGCAAATAAAACCATCGACCATGTATGTTTCATTTTAAAAGGGAAAGTATCATGATTAATTCACTATCTGTGGGCATATTTGAGCTCTCCGGGACAATCATCTGAAACAAACAAACAAAAAACTACTAATAAGAAAAAAACGGCACTGAAATTAATTAGAAAATAGCTCCTAGGAAAGAAGACTCACAGATTCAGATACCTAAGCCCTAGTTAAAGTAAGCTGGGTGCTGGGGGTGTAGCTCAGTGTTAGAGCACTTCGCATGCATAAGGCTGTGGGTTCAGTACACAGCACCAGAAAACAATAAAAACCATAAAAACCTCATCTTAGAATGCTGTGTCCTTTGTCAGTCCCCAGCCCCGCACTGAATTATTTTATTGACCTCTGCCACTGGGTAGTTTCACTAAGAAAATAGGAATTATTTCTGTAAAATTATAAATTTGCTGGTAGATGTGCCTGTGGATTTCTCATTTTTTCCCCTCAAAACTCAGAGATGGAAGGAAATTTTGAGATCATTTGCTTCTACTCTTTTATCCCTTATATGTAAAAGTCAAGGGTGAAGAGAAGTTTACTTGCTCAGAGAACTTGCTGATGGGCTCAGGGCAGTCCCAGGCTAGCCTGGTGCTTTTTGCCTCCATCAGCTTCCGGTTTCACTCCATCACCACCTCAGTGTCTCCTAGTCCATATTAACAACCACAGCTGCAGTGAGACGGTGGTGTTTCGGTACTGCGTACTCAATTAAGAAGTGATGTCAATTTGACATGGGAGGAAAATTAGCCTTCCCATCACTGAGACACCAGGACTGATACCTACAAATGAAAGGAGGAGAAGTTTAATTTGCTTATGGTTTCAATCCATAATAGGCTGCCTTTAAGCAGAAACATCATGGCGGCAAAGCATTGCCAAGCAAAGCTGCTTAGTTTACGGCTTCTGGGAAGCTCAGCAGGGGAGAATGCAAGAGATGAATGGGTGAGAAGCTATATGCAGTACCCACAGCCACCCAGGAGTGTGCTTTACTTATGTGCTAGATACTTCTTAATTCAATGAAGTTAAAACTTCAGGATTAGAAATCATGCAAGGTAGGCGTGGTAGTGCATGCCTGTAATCCTAGCACTCGGGAGGCGGAGGCAGGAGGATCCTTGCAAGTTTGAAGCCAGCCTGGGCTACAAAGTGAGCTCAAGGCCAGCCTGAGCTCCATAGTGAGACCCTGTCTCAAAAAGACAAAACAAACAAACAAACAAACAAACAAAAACGCCTGAAAACAAAGAAATCACGCAAGCATTTGGGTGTGGTGACACATGCCCAAAATCCTAGCCTTCAGGAGGTTGGGGCAGGAAGATCGCTGCAAGTTTGAGGCCAGCCTAGGCTACTTAGTGAGTTCAAAGCCAGCCTGCTCTAAAAAGTGAGACCTTGACGCAAAAAAAATCTAAAAGAAACAAACAAAATGGAATCACACAAGCTATCAAACTGCGCAAGACTTTCTGGAAGCTGTAGTGAAATACAGTTTGAGATTATTAATGTTGTCATACAGATGTGTGTGTAACACTCCCTTCTCTGACCATCCTCACCTCCCATACAGACAGATGTCTTTCACCACTTTCTTCCTGTTCTATTAGTTAACATTTGCTGAGTTTTCTGTTAGCCAGACACCTTCTAGTACTGACACGGGTCTAAGCCTTGCAACCTTGGAGCAAACCAGGGTAAGACAAAAAAAGCCACCTCCATGGTCGGCTCCATTCCTTACTTGCAGCCTCATGCATTGGCCTCATGCCCAAGCTTATTAAAGGTCAGAAGGGGTGTACTGCCCAGTTGGTGGCCAACCATACTACACCTTTTCAACCCTTGGCGTCAGTAGCAGCATCAGACCAGCAGGTGGTGCCGTGAGTTTGAGCACCAAAGCTGCGTGTGCTTTTGAATTTTCTAAGTAGCCGAATGAGACATGTTTATAACATAAATATGTTTAAAAGGTGCATAGAAGTAGGCAGACTTATTTTTAATTAATTAGTCTGTTTGTAATTATACATCTAAAACATAAATTCATTCTCATTTGTAAGGAATTCATACAATACAGAAAAAATACAAGTTCCTCCATCTCTGTTTCTCTAGAGGAACTGTTGTTTTATTTTTCCAGGTATTTTTCTGTGCACTAGCAACATTAATGCATCTAGAAATATAAATATGTTTTCATAAATAGGATCACACTTCATTTTCCAACTTACTTTTCCACTTAATGAGTTTTAGACACCTTTCCGTATATGTGTATGTGTCTATACCTATTTACATTATCTCTTTTTAAAGAATATCACTGCCTAAGATTCCACTGAGTGGATGTTTTGTGGTTTATTTGATAGCTTTTCTGTTGAGACTTTCAGTTGCTTTTTAGTTGCCAAGTATTACAAACAGTGGAACCCTTGTAATGTGTATTTCTCTAGTTCAGACCCTTAGCTATGAGGATATGTGCACTGTTAGATGTTAAGAAAGATTTTTAAGAGTCAGAATAGAGGGAGGCCCTGTGACTGGAAGATTTCAGAGTTGGTCATAATCAGCGTGCTGTGGTCTGGCTGTCGCTGTACCAGAGAGAGATGCTGGTGACGTGGACACACTGCTGTGTCCCTTTCCCTCACAGCTGCAGGCAGCACAGTAGCTCGTTTCACTCCAAGTCAAAACCACAAGGACCCTGGCAATCCAGTGTCAGCTGTGAAGGAGAGTTCTTTATTTGTCACCCCGTGGGATGGTGTGAGACCGCAGGCAGCCAGTGGAAGGAAGAAAGGCTTGGAGAGACAGGCTGAGGGGCTCTGATTGGCAGACCTTGCCGCAGCTGGCCCAGGGGGCGGGAGGCCGCGCTGGAGTGGTGTGATTCTTCGTGGATGATGCGGTCTCTATTTTTGCAGTCGGCCGCCCAATCCCTGTTCAGCAGACTCTACACCCGACGCAGGAGCAGATTGATGAGCTGCACCAGACGTATATGGAGGAGCTGAGGAAGTTATTTGAGGAGCACAAAGGGAAGTATGGTGTTGCGGAACACGAGACGCTCACTCTTCAATGACCTTACTCTCACAAAGCATAAAGAGCACAAGTCAGCACCCCTCTGAGAGAGTAAATCCTCTGGAAGTTAATCTCCCCCACCCCTTTGTATTCTGAAATCAACTTTGTGACTGACTGAAAGGTATTATTTACGGTGATAGATGTTGATTTTTACCTCTAGTAAATAAAAAATACAGTAGATGACCACTGCAAAAGATTGGAGATGACTGTAAGACTTTCCATGTTTTCCCTCATTTTGGAAAAGTAAAATATCTTATAGATAATGGAAAGGTATAGCACTATCCATGTGCTTCCCCTCCAAATAGAAAAATGACAGCTTCAAAAAGCCCATTTTGGGGCTGGGGATTTAGCTCAGCGGCAAAGCGCCTGCCTGGCAAGCGCAAGGTCGTGAGTTCGGTTCCCGGTACCGGAGAAAAAAACAAGAAAAACCAAAAAGCCCATTTTACTAAACAGCATAATAATGCAAGGTGTTGTTTTCACTAAGTATGGCAGCTTTTGTTCAGCACCGCTGGGACATTTGGAGACTGTAAAATAATTTGCTTTACACAGAATTAGAAGAGGTTTTTTTCTTTTTAAACAAGCTGTTTCTTAGTGAATAATGTCACATTTCATACTTGCATATTTTGATCTGTTATATGTTATAGCAACACATTTTTACACAACAGCCCCGCATTTTTATGCCAGTTCAGAAATAGGATGAGTTTGTCACATGGAAACCCACAGGGATGAAAGTCTGTCTCCTCGTGTTCCTGCTTTGCAGCCTGTATTTGCTAGAGTCATGCAGGTCTATTGGTGAAGCATACTTTTGCACATGTTTAGAATGCCGGGAGTTCCTAAAAGTTCTCATGATAATGGATTTACTTTCAAATTTCTTCCCAAATGGTCTTTTCATTTTACAACAAGCTCTGAAAGAAAGTACCCTTCCTGGTGAGAGGTGTCCAGCTTACAGCAGTCTAAGGTTGAATCTTCTCCAAACCAGAGTTAGCAGGGCGCTTTCCTCTCCTTCCTGGTGTTTCCCGAGTGCCTGGGTTAGCTATGGCACCAACTAGGCACAAAATAAGCACTTCTTTAGTGAGTGTATTAGTAGTTCAACATACACACTTTGCTAAGATATGAAGATTTTTAAAGCTAATCTGTAGAATGAGACATGTGTTAAGACCCACTTATGTTTTAGATCTAAAATGGTCCCAAGAGTCTCATGTACTTAGATGATTAGATCAGGGGGCACTATACTCACCAGTAGATTTCTCCACTAATGAATCCAGTGGCTGAAGGTGTGGGTAGGAGGTGGGGTCTGGTTAGCGGGGACTCACTGTGAGTGTGACCTTGAAGGCGATATTCTTGTCCCTGGTTCCTGTCTTCCCTCTCTGCTTCCTGGCTCTTGTGGCCTGGAGACCCTAAGAGCTGAAGAGAGAACTCCATTTTCTGCCACACGTACTGAAAAATCACGTGTTACATAGGCCAGGAGCCCCTGTCATCCTGTTTCTGCCATAAAGTCAGCTCACCATGGCATTAAACTGTGAGTCAAAATAAACCTCACCTCTTTTAAAATGTGGGTGTCGGGTATTGTGTCCCAGTGACAGGAAAGTGACTAAGCTGCCCATTTTCAAAAGGAGAAATTTCCCATGTCCAATTGTCCTGCCTCAGTAACTGGTGGTACCGTAAGCTATTTCATCAATAGCAAGTCAGAAGGAGTTTTCAGGTCATTAGTTGCTAAGCATTAAGTAACTCGAACCTAAGTAAGAAGAATGTCTTGGTTCCAAACAATGTTCATTCCCAGATGTTTGCACCTGTACTTGTTCCACACTAGGTGTTTATGATCAATAAAACCAATTTACCTTCAGACTTGTTGGTAAAAGGTCCTTCAACTTCTAAGATTTGAAACACTAACCTTTGGACTGGAGCATGGGTTGGGTTCAGCAATAGCAAAACAAAGTTCTTCTGGGTGAGATCTCTAAGAAGAAATGCATCTCCCACACTAGAAAGTGAGCCTTCTCAGTTGTTTTGCATGAGGGTTTTTTTTTTTTGGTCTGAATTCCTTTAACTTCACACTAGCTGGGTGATCCAAGTATCCAACGACCGATCCATGACCTTGAAATCAATTCAATTTTTTTTGTCAAAACAGGTCCTTTGAGGTATTACAAATCCATGAATTGTAACCCTTTAAAGAAGTGTGTTAAAAGCTGGTGACGCATTACCCAGGAGGCAGTTAAAATTCACACTTAAAGCAGAGGCAATCAAAAATCAGAAAAATTTTCATGAATTTGCTTAGATTTTACCATTAAAAAATTGGAACATAGCAACTTTAATTTTGACATACGTAATGTGTTATGTTTTAGTACATGTGGCAGTGAATAGAATTATCTCTTCACTTCTGAGGGTCTCCCGAGGACTTAATCCAGCCATCCCAGAATTCTTTCATATAGTCAAAGCATAACCAGAAGTTCCATATCACCCTATAGGTTGTAAATAAATCTGATATGAATTTTTGCTATCACACAAATGCAGGTTCTATATTATATTCACTGGTGTGGTCTGACAAAAGTCTCTTTTAAAGTTTCCCATGTATTGTGCAATGATTTTAAAGCAAAATAAACACAACAACAAAAATAACCCAGAGCATTATGAAATAACTCAGCCTGTTGCCATAGGAAAATGTCCTGGATGTTTTTGATTTGGACATTTCTTTCTCCTCTGTTTTCTTTGTGTGCAGAAAGCAGACTGAGTCATTTCCTTTATCCTGAAGCTAAAAGTTTTTGATATGACAGTGTCAATAGCCAACCTGAGTTACATACCCGGACCTTTTATTTACTTATTTATTATTTTGAGAGACAATCTCACTAAGTCACCTAGGCTGGGTTTGAACTTGCAATCCTCCTGCCTCCGCATCCCGAGTGTCAGGGATTATAGCTGTGCACCACTGTGCCCTACAGTGCTAGACCTTTTAGTGCAAACCCTCAGTCCCAGCTATAAAAAGTCACAGCACGTGCACCACAAAGGTCCTGATGGGATAGTTACCATATGCACAGGACTAAAGGTGAAATCCTTATTTTCAGTAGAAGGTATTCCTTTTGTGAAAGTATGGATTCTGGTTGTAATATCTTTGCATCTCATTAAAACTATCATGCAGACTAGCAAAGAGTGGCATGAATATGAAAACGGTTTTGGGGTACATTTTCTGTGTATTTCTTTCCTTTAAAAGAGACACTAGCCAGGTATGGTGGCACATGCCTATAACCACAGCACTCAGGAGGCAGAGGCAGGAGGATCACCATGAGTTCAAGGCCAGCCTGGACAACATAGTGAGACTGTCTCAAAAACCAAACCAAAACAAACAAAGAAGAGAGAGATACCATTGTTGAGATTTGTTGATTTTTTTTTCCCAAGTAGACCAAGATAGTTAGTTGGCATATTTGCATTTCTTAATGTAAGTGATATAATATCTACTTGTGGGGCTGGCTGGAATGATTACTTCAAGTAGAATTTGCATATATTTTTGAAGGAGAAAGACAGGGCGACTTCTAAAATATACAAGCACTTTCTCTAGTTTCTTTATCATGATAAACCCAGAAGTAATTATCTATCTTTAAAACAAGGGCCTGCCTGCCAAGCGCAAGGTCCTGAGTTTGATCCCCATTACCAAATAAATAAATAAATAAAATAAAAGGATTTCTCTGGTACCTTATGTTTCAACAATTGCAGGTAACCCTTCCCAAACCCCTGGAGTTTAGTACCTTCAATCCGTAGGGGATTTGTGATCCCCTTAGGCATTATGTGAAAAAGAGAAGGTTCCCTCCATCCATAATTAACCCATGGCATGATGAGTTTCTCATTGGCAAGTTGCTCCTGTCCCTAACAGAGCAGGCTTTCAGCAGTATCTTCGTGAACACCAAACTGAATTTTGGGTGCGTTGAGTCAAAAAACAAGTTTCAGAGCAAGAAGAGCCACTGTAGTGTAATTGTTCTCTCTGCAGATGAAGCAATCAAACCCCTATGAGGTTCACACAGATCGACACTCACTGGATTCGTAATCCTGTGTCCCAGATTAAACAAGCGGTACCATTAGCCCACGATCATTTATAGAGAGCCCTTCCTGGTCCTCACTGAGGCCCAGGAAGTTTATATATATTTTTTTCTTTTATAGCCTTTATTTTAAATTGATATTTTAGAACAGTAAATTACCTTTCACAGCAGTGCCCCTCGTTCTGAAAATACAGTACCCCATTTCTGAATGCAAAGATTTAAAATAAATCAAAATGAACATTAAGGCCTACAAACATCTGCTCTTATTTGGTAAGGATCAATTCTTATTTATATTCAAATACATGGAATGTTGGCACAAAACTGAAGCTGCTGTAGAAAAATTACAGATGTCCCATGGGTTATCCAAACTTCCATTTCTTTAAAAACATAACCTTACATGATCTTAATTTTACAAATTTAAGTGTTGAGAAATGTCTAAATAATAAGTAACAATTTAAATAAAATGTTTTATTTGTAAATTATGTACAGAATACGCTTTACATTATGACAAGGGGATGGGGAGGAAGGGAGAGCCACCACCTTCCAACCAGAGCGCTTCACGTTCCTGCTGGAGATGACCATCTTTCTCTGAGTCAAGTGTACAACTCAGCTTGGATTTCCTAAGCTGGAAGGAAGAATGTGTAGCTAAATCAAAAATGTTCCTGCATTGCCACTAGTTTGCCTTTTCCAAACAAAGTTTGAACACTGCTAACTCAGAATCTTTAAGAAATTGCCTGGTAGAATTTTATAATGAAAAAAAAGTATAACTACCAAGAACAATGAGTTTAAGCATTTTTACCTAAAGAAACTGTGAAATGGCTACATAAACTATGAATAATCTGCATGTTGGAGTTTAATCCTTTTATTTTGATTAACATAACAGTAAAAAGCCATACAACTATCAAAATGCTGTGAATCTAAAGTTCATATGGAAAATGCATCTTTGATAACTATCAAAATGAGACCTACTTACATAAAATTATCAAATGCATAAAACTTATTAATGGCTTTAGACTGTACCAATAATAGTACCAATATTCTATAAAATGAAGGACTGAATAGAACTTCTTGGCTGTCAAATGCTTTCAGCAAATGGACTTAAAGAAGGCTTCAAATGCCACATGTACATTATGATGATCTGCCCATACAGAAAATCCAACC